AGCGTTTAAATAGCCGGGGTGACCTTTCCACACCCTCGCCAGGGATCCCAAACACCCTCTCCACCTCGCAGGGCTCACTAGTGTGTTCAGGCTTTTAATCTCACAGTAGCCCTCAGATCTGTCCGAGCAGGCACAGCAAGCTGAAAAACGACCATGTTAAAAATGACAGCAAGAACACATAAGCACCATGAAAGCAAACTGGCAAGGGGTGGAACAGCCCTGCCAGGGTGTGAGGAGGAAGGGTGTGGGAAGACAGGACTCGGGCACTGACCCCTTTTTGTTTCACCTTCCCAGAGGTGTTTGGAGAGGAGATAAGAATCCCAAGGGAGAAATGGGTGCATTGGCTTGGATACCATATCCTACCCAGGTGCTGCGGAGTCAAGGCTCAGCCTGTGCTGCCCAGAAGTCTGTCCCTGCTGCCGCCATTCCCACCACCCCCTCGTCTGCCAGCCTGGGTCCTGGCCTTCCCAACGTTTCCTGCCTCTGCCGGCTGCCTACAGGGCCAGGCAGGGGTCGAGACACGGGAAATCCTGCTGCCTCCTGCCAGCTGGCCGTGCCGGCTCTGGGTGACACATCCTGGGAGGGAGCCAAAGCCCCGCTGCAGCCCCGCACTGCTTCTCGCTGGCCTCCTCCAGCAGCTGCGGCTGTGCGAGGAGTCCGGCCACCACGGGAGGGATATACCAAAGGGGCCTAGCAGGATACCTGGACCGGGCCAAATGTGCACATCATGTGGCCCACAGCCCCAGGGCACAACTGGGTCCACCGCTGGACCTTTGCTTTCACGAGCCACCCTGCAAGAAGGGAAACAGCAGCAATATTTTTGAGTTGTGGCAGCTCATGCTGGCGTTTCTGTAAGATCGATTGGAGTGGAGTAGTGGCCAAGTGGCTATCCCTGCACCCTGGCTTGCAGAGAGGGGTCATGGGTGAGGTTTTCTATGAGAAAAAATGCCCAGGGGACATTCCCATGCAAAGCCTCAAAGACATTCCCGAGAGGACCCCAGTTCCTAGCCAACGCCAAAATCCTTGCAGCTGTCACACACCAGCCTCCAAGCCCCTGTGACAGCAGAAGGCACATTGGTTTGTGGTGGAGTTGTGCAACCTCCCTCTGACCGCCCGTCCCGGTCCCCGGGAGCCCACGGGGCCAGAGCTGCCTCCTCCTGCATCCCAGCTCCCTTCTGCTGCAGCAGGGAGGGATGGAAAAGCCATTCGGCATCCCTCCGAGTCACTTCCCTGCTTGCACGGCTGACCACCTCCAGCACTGCGGGCTCCCAACCTGCCCAAGGAGAAACTGGACCAAAACAAGCATTGCGGGGGCAGAGGGAAAGGAGCCAGCCTTTTTTCTTTCTTTTTTTTTGTAAAAAAAAAGGGATATTGAGGACTGGAGCAGACAGCCAGCAGAATGAAAAACAGCCACGTGGGGACTGTGAAAATAGGAGCTGAAGAAAGGAAGATGGGAAAGGTCTAATAAAGAGAGTAATAGTACATAAAATACACAAGAACCCACCTCCACCAGGAAGGCTGTGGGAAGGGGTTTTGGTGATAATCCCTGGCTGTTTGAGACTGTCCAGGCAGACAGGGTCTGGATTAGACCAGGAATGCTTAGATTTTCACCCTGTCAACCTGAAACAATGCTTTTTCCTCATGGCATTTTGTTATTATGTGGCAGAAATCAAGGGAGGACAGTTGGCCGTGAGAGGATCCTCCAGCCTCAGGTAGCTCTGTCGAGCTCTCAGCCACATCCAGATCTCATATGGAAAAGAAACATTTCCCTCATCTGAGCAAAAGTCACGCAAGGAAGCTTGCTCCTAGAAATCAAGCCCATGTTCCCATCACCCTCTGCTCAGCCCCAAGTCTCATCCTAGCACACGACAACCTCGGATCAACACCTGTGCTGAGCTCCCTGTCCTCACTTGGCCCCAGTGTGGCGCAGGGCCTGGGGGTGGTGAATAGCTGGGTACAGTCATTGCTGCCGTCAAGGCTTTGGGGCCCTTTCCCAACCCGTACAAAGTTGTCCCAGGTCTGTCTGGCAGACAGTGGGGACAGAAAGATTCACACAGGTTATGTATCAGATGAAGGGAACCGAGTCATTGATTACCCAGGAAGGTTGTGCTAACCCTGGGGGTTGTGCCCTCCCCACTGAGACACCGCTGGAGCAGCCCGTTGCGACCTCTGAGCATGAAAACCGCAATGCTGAGGAGTGACATCTCACTCACAGGTGGTCACGCTCAGCCCCAGCCCAAGTGATCTGAAGTAGCAGCTTCCCAGCCAAAGGAAACTTATATTTCCTTATCGTTTGCTATAAATACAGCTGCGCTGTTTTCCTGACTGCGTTATTCCTACGGTCCTTATCACGCGCGCTCAGATAGCCACAGCAAAGTCATACACTTCACAGTCATCTTGCTCCCCTATTCCCAGCTTTTCCAAGCCATTTACGTTCACAACCCGCTGTGTCCTGAAGTTGTTCTACGGCAACAGGTGACCCTGCCCAGGACCTCCACATCCGTACGGAACAGGTCAGCAAATGAACTCGTCTTCCTTTTCCCCTTCTTTGCCATGCAGGGACCTGGCTCACAGTTAGGGACAAATTCAAATGTCACTTCTGATAAACATTTATTTTTGGTGAGGAACATGATGTGTTTATAGGCGGTGGAGCGGGCCGGTGAGAAGCAACGGGCATGCGCCAAGTCTTGCAACATCTTGATGCTTCTAGTGATTCTGAATACCTTGGTCTCCCACAAAGGTCACGTTGTCTGATCCTTAGGGCATTTTAAACACAAGGGAAAAAACACACTGGGGAAAAGGATTCCCAAGGTCTCAGGCTGGAAACAAGACCATGTTGAAACAGCAGAACAGTGCTTTCAGGTGGCCTGTGTTGCATCAGCCTGGAGACCAAAGGGAAACACCTTGGAGCAAAGGGTCTGAGATGAGACAACAGCTGGCTGAAGGTGCCTTCATTTCTGCACTGCCCAAAGCCAATCAAGACTTCACCTGCCACAACATCAGCTTTGGACCAAGCTTCACTTCCCTCAATGGATTAGCTGGAAGCAGGAGGGGGGGGGGGAATTTTTACAAATAGTTTCTGCATCTGTAGAATATTTGATGAAGACAAGCAAATTTGAAAGGTAAAAAGGAAGCCTGAACCTTTATGGAGACATTAATATAATCGTTCTCCTGAACCAAAGCTGTCCTTCAGAAATACCCCGAGCTTAGTGGAATGAGCGGGCACCTAAGCATTATAAGAAATCCAGGACCAACTGCTGCCATGGTTTCACAAGGGGTGTGGGTATCTGTAACCAACTATTATGACCTTCATGCTGAAATACTTGGGCAATTCATCTATTGCACACATGGTGTAGGGGGTCACATTCAGATGGCCTCAAAAATCAGTGAATCTTTTTTTCTCTGCTCTGCATTCGAGTTCTAAGTTTCCTTCTCCAAGCTGGCTCAAACAACAGGAGGATATTCATCCCTCTGGTTTTATGGCATTTATATGTCAAGTCTAGGAAGGAACTTGAAACTAGAGTAGTGCTATGATTTGTGTTCCCATTGAAGGGAAAGGGTTGAAATTTAAAAACAGTTGAACTCAGTTTTGATCTAATCGTTGGAGAAGAGATATTTAGAAGACTTTTCATTTGTACTGTCTTTTAAATTTAAATTGAAATACTTCCTGATGTTTCCCTCTGGGACTAAAAAGAAAGTCCAGCAGTCCTGATTTGGATTAGTCAATTCAGGCATTTTCCAATGATCTACGAGTCCAGATCCTGGATTTTAGTTCTTTTCCATCACAAACCTGTGTAGCTTTACCTCTTGCTTTTACAAGCTGCTACCTTACAAATCCATTTTAGTCTGACAAGAGACTGTACCTCCTATGTCCGCACACAAGTCTAAACACACTGATTGATTATGAGACAACATTACCTACAGCAAAGATAGCCTCCTTCATCATTTCATCCACCACTATCCCGCTGCCGACCACACTTAAATACACTTTGATATGCGTACCACCAGACACTGTGAAAGACCTCACGTTGGGCACCAAAGAGAACCAAGGGAGGAACCACAGAAAATGGAAACGCCGCTTTCAGATGCTCATCCAGACACAACTTTCTCTGCCTCTCTCTTTTCAAGATTAGCTTCAGCTACTCAGTTTGGATATACACATGCAAAATCTCCCAAAACTTCATCAACTTTGGATGTGAGTGGTAGCTGGCACTGCTCTATTTTTTTCTAAACAGTCAAATGCATCAAAAGACAATGAGGAAGGCTGCATGATTCACAGTAATGGAATGAAATGCCATTCACAAATGTTTTTTCCATAGTAATTTGTCACTTATTGTATTGAAACCACTTCAGAAGATGTCTCAAAGAGCCTTTTGATATTAGCATGATTAAAAACATAATGCAATTAAGCAATCCCACAATATTTCTTATGTTGTATGAGCAGGACCTTGAGCGACCACTTCATTGGACCCCCTGATAAATGGCTGCTTCTAACAGAAGGCTGTTATTCTGCAAGATGCCTCAGATAGTTGTATAACACCAAGGAATTAAAATCTTCCCACCCCAGAGGCATTTTGGCTCACCAAAGTTTAGCTGTCCAGCTTTGGCGTTGGGTTTGGCCTACGTGTCTCAAACCTTCTCAAATCAGCCAAGAAAGACGCGTCTCCCAAGAGTCATTCTTCTCACTTCAAAATTGATGTCGAAAATTAATGGGAACGTTTGCCCTCTAGATGCATCTTTCTCTCTTTATTGACTATCTAGATGTCTACCCAGCTGTCTATCGCTTTTCCTGCTGTTTCTCTCATATGCAGAGTTAATATTGACATATGTTCCCAACTTGTTACACACACCTCCATACATCAATTTCCGATACCTCGAGTACACAGTTATGCAAGTATGCATAACTCTGCATTCATATATAACACGGCATTAAAAAAGCTTTCAATGAAATGGAGACAAAAAAAGGCCCATCCAAAGCGCTAGCTGTCCCAGGTCCCTACCTGCCGGGCAGTTGCATCGCTGGTGTGTCTCTCGAACTTCTCGATGTCTCGGTAAGTGGAACTTTAGTTTCTGTCAAGGGAGGAAAAAGAGCAGAAGGATTCATTAGTACTGTTGAAACCAAAGCCTCAAATTCTTGGGAAAATGGGACTGGAGGACTCTGCCCGAGCAGAGATGGGAGAGACAGAGCAGAACGCTCTGGGAACGAAGAAAGGCATTAAAGTTCATAGTCTTTAACTAGAAATGTGGGGTTTGATTGGAAGCAGGCTGAGGGAGTTTCGTAATGGCCTCCAAATGTGGTCCTCCTGACAGTCATTACAAAATCAAGAGCCAGCAGTGGCGAATAAAGAGGTGACTGTGTCCTCATGAGAAAGCCACGTTTCTCAGAAGACTCACTCAGCAGATGAAAAATGGACATCTGAAGCAGGTACTCCTCCCCTCTGTGGCAGACTCCTTATGCTCACAGAGACATCTGGACAGACAGAAGGATCCCACTGAAAAATTGCAGCTAAAGATGGCCTGGAAACAGTAATGGCATTTCATGAAACCTTCAGAGGCTGTGAAGCTGAATTTTGCTCCAGTGCAGAACAAAACAAAACCTACTGAGAGGTTCCACAAGGTGAAATTACATCAAAATGTTCATTTCCAATGAGTCTGGATTTCTAATGGTGCAGGTATATCAATCTCCTGCTCTCCGTCCCTGTCTGTGTATTTCTTAAAGGGGTGATAGACTGCACCTGAGGCCACCACATCTTCTCTCGCTGGAAATACCATTAAAATTGACCACATCCTGAGCAAAATACACTTTAGGGACAGCATCCACACCACATCTCGTAGACATTATTAAAATAACTGTGATTCAGTGAAGAAAATGCAAATCAATCCAAGTAAGTTATTCATTAATGCCTGTGAACCATGCTTGGTTAATGATCTGAGATGATTTGAGAAGACTGAGCTGCTGGGGTGCCTGTGCGAGAGTCACTCCCTCTTCCCTTCTAATCCTCAAGCCCAACTGTTCATCCCAGTTGCATCTTCTTACTGTCCGACCTACTTCACAACTGGGGTCACTATTTCGAAAGAAATAGTCTTATGCTGACAGAAGCCCATGCCCAGGATCATATAGAAATGACTTGATTCCACAAGTAAACAAGCACCTTCCTGCAAGAAGGCATCAGTTTGGGGGAAATTTATTTTGGAGAGGGAAAAAATAAAGCAACATGTTTCTGCGTGGGATGAGAAAAGGCAGAACTGGCTGGAACGCTTCCATTTTTCACTTTGAAAGGACTGGCTTCCTTGTTGCAAGTCAAAAAACAGTAAGGGTTGTTGTGACTAACTAGAAATTGAATATTTTCAGAGCTTTTTTTGTGCATGGTAGACTGAAATGTTTTGATAGTGGCTTGATTTGCTATTAGGACACAGAGAATTACCAGTTCTCATACAGCATTTTATCTGCATTTACCTTCTCAGTTTAAAAGCACATAAATGTCAATCTTTGCATTTGGGCATGTTCCCATCCAACTGCCACCCGCAGATGGCATGGCTCTTCTCCGCAGCGCTGCCCAGCTCTGAACACTTTGTGCTAGTGGTCAAACATGGGCACAAATAGGACATCGGAGCCCTTATTTGGATACTCGCACTGGTATGCAGGCATACGTGTTCCCGTTTCCATCTACACATGTGCCAAACAAAATGTCCGAACACGAGACCGCCACACTTGGGTGGGGTTCCCAGACTTGGGAATCTGGCTTAGCACAGGAGGGGGCAATGGTTCACACAGGCAGAAGCAGAAAGTCATTTCCTAATCAGTGAGGGTCCAACGCGCTGCAGAGGGGCCCCTTATAGTACAGAAAACTGCAAGGAAGCGTGCAACAGACCCCTGCCCCACCAAGTGCAGAGGCATGACAGGGGCCAAGGGGGAATGGCCAGCGGGAAGGCAGAGTTAGGGCTTCCTGCAAGAAGCCTTGGCTGGGTCGATCTGCTGGCACACACGGAGAGGAGCAGCATAACTGGACTTATCAGGGGAAGTGATGACCCAGCAGGACTTGAGCGCTACTGGGAGAGGAACAGGAGCGATAGCATTTCTCCACAACTTTATCTGTGGGGTTGGGGTAGTGGAAACACCTGGGAAAACTGAAATAGCCTTCCCAAGGACAAGGCCTCCTTGGAAGAGAGGTGGGGGTGCTGCTGGGCAGGGCTGGGAGTGCAGCCTCAAGCACCGGTACGGTGCAGCCATCGGGCACTCATTGGCACTGGGCATTTTCCCCATCCCTGGCCATCGCGGTGCCTCCCTGCAGCCCCGGAGCTCTGCACATCCATGGGGAGTACAAAGGGCAGTGATGTCGTGAGATTGCTCCCCTTCAGTTTTTCTACCAGGAATTTAGGAGCGCCTGGAGTTCAGTTTCCTGCACAGTCTATTAAACAAACATTGACTGCAACAGAAAAAATCCTCGGCTTCTGGAGACCTCAGTTCAACTCTGGGTTGAGATGGTGAAACAAAACGAATTCCTGGCCTTTTCTGCTACCCTCATTACCACCGTGCAAAATACTGCCTGGTCCAACATGAGAAGCCAGCTTTGCTCAGGAGAGCAAAAAGAAAGGGCTTTCCTCTAAAACTGGCCTTTCCAAGAGAAAACTTCCATTTCTATGCAACAGAAAACCATTCCGTTTTAAGGCAAGGTTGACATCTGTAAGCAAAAATAAAAGAACGTGGTCTCTGGGAATGTAGTGTTCACGACCACCTTTCTGGATCTGGGGTTTGCTTTTTCACCCTGGGGCACACCTAGAGCATGAAACATCAGAGCAGCAACTGGCTACCTCTTGCCCTGGCAGAAACGCTGAAAACACTTCTTAGTTGGCTTGTCATCCTAGCCAGTTTGCTCGTCTGTCATGTTTTCCGGTGATATAATGGCTGCATCTTCCCCCTACACATATGAAAGTGGCTGAAAAAGCTTTTGCCAGTACTGGGGCCACAGCTGACTGACTCCCATGTGGAGACTGTGTGCCTCTGTGTATTTAGGGAGCCATCACACATCACTGAGCGCAGAGGGAAGGGGAAAACCCTCTGACTGCAAGAGGGCAAGGCCAGGAGAGTCAGGATGAAACACACATTTGGAAGTGGGCAATAAAGCCAGCACGGGCTTTTCCTATGGGATTTGTTAACTCACTGCTAGCGGGACAGGTCAGGGCTGGCTTGAGTGGACAGAGCAGCGAAAGCAAGACCTCTTCCAATGCTAAAGGACCATGGCAGTGGCCTCCTAAACCTTGCAAGTGCCTGTCTATTTTGGATGGGCACTTGAGATTAGGTGAAAGAGAGGGCACATCTTCAAAGGGGGCAGATTAATAGCTCTTTAGCAGGCGTAGTTGTTTGCAGTCACCCGGGGAGGTGAAATCATTTCCCACCACTATCTCCAACAGCTAAAAGAAACATGTCTCAAATAGATAATCTATTACAACCATCAGGAGGATTTCAAGGGCCGGTGGTTTTGTTAACTCTCATTGTTTTATCTCCAATTTAGCTGTTTTTTCTTAAAGGCCCAGCTCCTGGAATCGCAGGGCCATGTGGCATGGAGCAAAAGCAAGCAGCGAGTCCTCCTAGATGGAGCAAAAAGCTTGGAAATAACATCATCTAGGTTCAAGGATTACAGGTAGCTGGAAGGAGACAGGACTTAGCTACCAGAGGAATTGGAAGGAAAAAAAATAGATCTCATGGTTTTGGAGTGAAAAACACTAAGCTAATGATTGAGGCAGGGGATGCTTAGAGCAGTCTTGCTGGGAAGCAGAACTGAGCAGTGCGCTTCAAGATACAGATGCAAAAGGAGAGGGAAAAGCTTTCAGTTGGGAGGGAAAGGGAGTTTTCAGGCACCTCTCCTTTCTTCACATAAGTAAGCAGAGAGTCCCAGGGAAATGAGCCTATTGGGATAGCAGTGAGGATCAATCCTGCCTCCCCATCTGTGATACAGCCCCTGAATCCCTTCAGCATCACTAAAGACACAACAGACACCTTAACACAACCCCCTGAGAGGCTGATCACAGTGCAGAGGGGCAGCTGATATTGCCCCAGGCTTTACAGGGTAACTATGTCATGTTATACGCACTTCTACCTCTATAAACTCACAAATTCCGGGTTTTTTTTCCTAGCAGCAGCACTGAATCCATCCTGCTCTCCACCCCGCCGAGCCTTTGGCAAGCAAAAAGCACCAAATGTTATCCAGCATGGGAAAGGACCTTGTTTTCTTCTTCGGAAAGCTTTGCCATTCCTGCAAACACCAGTAGTGAGATTATTTGTGCTTTTTGTAGGAATTCACAATGTCCAAAAAAGGCAGAGGAATTCCTACATGGAGCTAAAGTTGTCCCTGAACTACCTGTTTCTGGCCCATTCCCACAGGTGTTTTTGAGGGGAAACTTAGTCAATTTATGTCTGGTAGAAAATTCCCCTCTGGTATTCGCTGACACCAGGCAGAGGTTCTCAGCAGCGAGTGAAGCAGCACTGGTCAGGGCTGCTTCTGGGAATGCATCTGCTGCCCTCTCCTTGCTCATCCTGAACTGAGATGCAAACACTGCCACAGCCAGCTGCGGGTGCTCCAAAACTGGGCTCCAAGACCAGGAAAACATCTCCACCAGCTGGCTTAAAATTAACATTTTAAATCAACCAACCCAACTCCTCTCCCTTCCAGTTTGCTTTATTTCTTCATGTACAGAAGAAGAGCATCTAACAGGACTTTGGCATTTTACACTTTTCAGTGCAATCCGTACGGTGTTCCCGTGGATGCTCACAGACTCCTGGGGACATGGGGGCACACCTGGGCACAAACGTGGCACAGTCTGGAAAGGCACCAGGTGCTCCAGCCCAGAGCAGTATGGGTTTTGAGCATAACCTCAGCTAACTCCTCTATCAGCCCTCGCATCTTCACATCCCTCTAGACGATCTTCCCAACCACCAGAGCTAGAAGTGTGCTCCTGTGCCCATAGCTCCCCTCACCTCCCACCTCGCTGTCCAGCTCAGACCAGCTCTTTTGAAAGCCGGGGTTTCTTTAAAGCTTTGCTCTTTTATTTTGTGATGGATAACACCGAGCTGGCAGCTGTGAAACCCATTAAGGCTGAAACACCAGGAAGCTCTGCAAGGATATGGCAGTGAGAGGCAGCAAGGGTCTGAGCAGCGGGGAATGAATATCCTGCTTTCACGTCTGTCACGGTAAGCCTGGCCACAGCCCCTCTACCCCCAGCACTGTCTCTCGTTTTTCTCATTTTATTTCTCCCATCCTTTCCCTGCTCCCCTTTATCTTCCTCGTTTTTCCTCTGTCCTTCTTGTCCCTCACCAGCCACTCTGGGAGACCCATCCAACTTAGCCCCACTTCAGACCTAGCGAAAAGGAGGACCAGGGGGATTTGTTTTTCTTTCCTAAGCAAAAGCTCCATATGCCACCCCACCATCTGTTTGCCAGCAGACCCCCACTCTGCACCTCGAGCCACTAGGCCCACCCCAGCGCCTCTGGCTGAGGTGCGGATGTCTGAAGTAGCTGTTTTAAGAGCTTAGCTGAAATAAGCAGTGGAGTCAGGGAAGGTCTCCTCCCTGGGGGGCCCAGTACTCCTCCTCCCTTAGCCAGCAGACCTTCCCATGTGTAAAGGGACAGGAGACCTGGGCCAGACATCCTTGCTCCTCCATAGGCTCCAGTGCCTTTCTCCAAGCTACTTTTGAAGATGTAGCCCAGCGAGGAGTTGGTAACGCCCATGGTACCCAGGAGCAAGTGCTGGCCCCTCAAGCAGCAGTTCCTGTCCCAAGGCTGCTCCCAGCACTGGCTGCAACGGGGCTCGAGCCACCCCCAGGGGCTCAGGATGGGCTGCTCGGAAAACAGGAGTGCTGCCAGGCACGTGGGCATCACGAGAGCCGCGTTTCCTTGCTAATCCGGGCTATAAAAAGGTGGAAAGGTGCCGCAGCCAGCAGAGCCAGCAGGACAGAGAGGGCCATCCGGCCCAGGGCACTGATCCCAGGAGGCATCCTGTGGCACGTCTCAAATCGCTTGGTAGAGATAAACTGCGACTTCCCAAGAGACTCGTGCCAGCAGCAACGACGGGAACGCTCCATGTTATCCCCTGTCCAGTGGTGGGGAAGGAATCTCTGCACAAGGGTGCAACCGCAGGGTACAGGTCCAGTCACTTGCAACATTTCTGCCTCCCCAAAAAGCTTTTCTCTGTGGGGTATTGCCCCATGGACCCTGTCTCCCCCTTATTCCTCATCCAAAGAGGCCACTCAAAACAACAGCCCCAGCTCCTACAGTGTTTGCTAACTCGAGGTTCACAGTTTTTGGCTGCAAAACCCAGTCGATCCAGGGACTGTTCCCACAAGACCCATAAACGGTAGCTGAGCCTGTCAGCTGTAGGCTTAAACTCCTCGCAGCAGAACTTCACTGCTCCTAGAAAGCATTCAGGAGTCCTCAGGTCCCCTCGGGTGCCAGGCACCACTGCCCCGACGCACGCCCTGATAGCCACCACTCTGATCATCCCATTCCGCACCTCATTTGGCAGTAGCAGCACACAAGATTTTCTTCAGACACAAACAGTTTTTGGGCTAGCCCCGGGGACCTCTCCAGCCTGTCTCAAGCCAAGGCTGCAGTAAATAGAGACAAGGAGAGGTGGGTGGAAATGGCCCCAGCCCTGAATCTCAGCCCTAAGCTTCCCCTAGAGCTGAGAGAACAAGTCAGTGTGGACCTGCCTGGAGAATTCAGAGACGTGAGGCACTGTCTGCTCTGTGACACATGTCAAAACTGCTTCAAAGCCCCGAGGAGGCAAGGAATACTGCAGAATGTTCAACCTACCCAGGGCAGAGGAACCTGGGCAGCTCACAGCAGCATCAGCACAGCAAAGTAAAAGATGTCAGCAACAAAAATCTGCACTTCTGGGCCCTCTTTATTGACTTGCTGAAGCTCGGGCTTCTTCAGCAGCCACTCTCCCCCATCCTCAGAGGAGGAGCTAGCTGGCTTCAGTGGAGTTTGGATGGGGCTCAAGTGGGCATAGCACAGCCATATGCTCTATACTGATGCTCTGTCAGTAACAGAAACTATTCTGGCAGTGCCAGTGTGTCTCATTTTCCTGAACCAGAAGCCGTGGAAGGGGGTCATGGCTAACACAGCCACGACATGGGTGCATTTGCAGTTACCTCCTCCCATAGCCACACCAGCTGCAGTGTGCCTTGCCTGTCTCTCTCCCAGGGCTCAAACCCACACTGAATTCCCAGGTTTAAGGTCTAGCTCTCTTTCCGCAGGCAATACCACCAAGTCACCAAACAGAGAGGACTGGAGGCTCTTCCCCCCCTGCCATGACCGGGGTTGAGGTTTCCCCCTTTGCAAAGTGCTGGGGCTCAGCCACAACTTCCCTTTTGCAGAGGAAAGCAAACACCAGGTGGGTTTGAACGGTGGGAGGGACCTGAAGGCATGGGAAATGCAACCTAGCAGCATCATTTGTCCAGAAATAAGTTTTTAAGAGAGGGAAAACAAACAGATAATGTGACAACACACATGCCTAAAAATCTATAGTACTGCAAACTATACATGCAAAATGAAAGGACACCAACCTCATCAAGCAGTTGGTCAACTCTTCCCAAAATAGCTGTCTCCATTTGGTCTGCTGAGAGCCAGGCAGGGAGCTGTGTGGGTCGGTCTGCTTCCAAGTGGGACACCCGGGACTGCAGATCGGAGGTCCGAAAGTACAGCAGGAGGCTCAGCACCAGAGAAAGCAGGGAGACGCCGGGCAGCCCCGAGCCCAGCAGGAGAGGGAGGCGGCAGCATCTCTCCCCATCGCTGGTCCTGGGGGGAGCCACACACCCCCTGTCAAGAGCTGCTTCGCCAACGCCTTTCCAGCTCTTCTCCTCCAACATTCCCTCCCTGTCCTGAGAAACAATAAATAAATAAATAGAATAAATAGAGCCTCACTCCTCCTCCGAGAAGCACAATCCAGAAGGCATAGAAAAAGAGCGTCCAAGGGGATCCCAGTGCCAGCAAATGACAAATAACAGCAATAATGACAAAAGTGGATTGGAGGGAGTCTTTAAAAAATAAAAACAAACCACACACACATAAAAGGGGTGCAGGAAAAAAAAAAGGATCCAACTGCAGCAAAGAGTGAGGGGAGGTGGAAAAAAATCTGATCAGGATTTCTTTTTTTTTTTTTCCCCCCCCTCCTGTGTTTCAAGTCTTTTGGTTCGCTGGTAAGTTTTTGTTTCCTTCTAAGCTGCCAGCTTCAGTTCCTTCGCAGACCGGCCAGGAGCTCGCACATGAAAGTCCCCATTAGAAAGAGGGCAATTCTCAGCTGCTCTGACGACGTTGTGCTCTGGCTGATCGTGGCTCCCCTGTAACATGACACACTCCCTCCGAGCTACGGGGCTGGGATGAGCGAGCTGCACGGCTTCCCAAAGTAACCTCCTCTGCTCGCCCTCCCTCTCCACCTCTCCCTTGCTGCATGATTTATTTATTTATGCAAAGCGCCGGGGTGGGATCGGGCAGTGGGACGCCCCTGTCCCGCTCGGTCCCCAAACCACCTCTCTGCCGCCAGCCCTTCCCTTTGAAGTGGCTCTCGAGGAGGTTATTTATAGCGGCAGGAAAGAGATTGTAAAGCAGAGGCTGGGCTCACACCAGCCTGCCTCTTTCTTTCCTCCCCGCAGCCAAAGGGCACTTTACAGGGTGGTACAAACGGGCTGTCGTGTCCCCCGTGCAGCCCTGAGGCACCTGCAGCGGGGTATTTTGATCCCAATATTTTGAGAAGAGCAGCCAGGGAGGGTGAGAGCCAGAGGGAAACGTCTAGAAACACGAGCTGGAAGCTGAAGGCTCTGAAAAAAAAAAAAAAAAAAAAAAAAAAAAAAAAAAAAAAAAACCAAAAAAAAACCAAACAAGCAAAGGGCAGCAGGAAGCAACACCCCAGGCAGGCAAACTGCAGTGCAAGGGGGGAACCTTTTGGGTTTGACTTGGGGGTGCAACATGCTGAGCCTTGGGGGGCACTGAGGGTGCTCAGAGGAATTGATCTGCTGAGGCCCTCTAGTGAAGCAGAGCTTCCCATCACCTCCTCCCTGTCTCACCGGGCAGAGGGCACCAGACAGAAACCCCCCTTGGTCGGGAGCAGTCTGCCATATACGTGCCATAGGGCAGCTCTGAGTCACGTATCTGGAAAAGAAAGCCTCTTTCTGTTCTTCAGGAGCAAGGGAGGCCCACCTCTCCCAATTTTTCTGAGCGTAACATCCAATATTTTATCCTCCAGGGTGACATGCAGGCTTTGCTGAACCCCTGCCTGTCCGTCTGTCCATCCTTTGATCCCCTTCTTAAGCACACACGGCAGCAAAGCAGCACAGGGCCCGCCGTGGTGCATGGCCATTAAAACCCAGGCAGCAAATTGGTCTCTTAAAATCTGGCTCCCTTGTGACTCTTTCGCTGTCATTTACACGTTTTAAATGAAGATCTTGCGTGCAGCCTGTGCTGGAAATTACTGGCAGGGAAAACTCATGTTCATCTCTCGCCCAGTCTCCGTTTCAGAGGGCTGGAAGAAATGGACCTTCTGGGAGCAGGTCAAAGCAAGCACGAGCTGTTTCTTCTCCACCAGACAAACCCTTGGAGGGCCCGGTAGCACACTGCCCTGATTCTTTTCAATGGCTTCATGTCTTTCACAGCCGCTCGCTTCCCAAAACTGGGTTTTAGTGTCTGCGAGGCAGGAAATCCTTTCTTTATTTCTTCTAGCAGGTTTCTTGTCATCTCGCTGCTCAAATTCACGTTGCTGCTCTGGCACGCATGGAAAACACCACTCTGATGGCTGGAGCCTTTCAACAGTTTCTCATATGAGCGGGGCAGATCCGTATAACCTACAAACCCGGCGCACACAAGATGTCTATTCGTTTGGGAGGCACAGCCACCCTGATCTCCTACCCCCTGCTTGGTCTCTTCCCAGCTATGTCTGTGTTAGCAGCCTATTTCTTTGCAAAAGGAAGAGGAGTCTTTGAGGCTGTGCTCTGCCAGAGAGAAACCATGGTCCCTGGAGTCACCTAAGACGCCATCTGCCATCACAGCAAATAAGTAGAAAGTGAGAAATGAGGGGAAACACTTAGAGGCTGATGATACAGTGTTTGAGAAGCAGAGATTAACACAGGGAAATAACAGTTGACAACTGGGATGCTGGGCATCCTAGAGAGCTCTGAAGTACACCACTTAAAGACTGGGGTTGAACTATGGATGAGTGCAGCTACCTGCCTGTTATACATAGCTTCACTCTCTCTCTCTCTCTCCTTTATACCAGCTCAAGCACTAAAATCACAACAATGCACTCTCTAAGCCGAAAACGGAAATCTGCTGGGTGTCTACATTTCATTTCCCCACACTGGCTGGGAAGACCTCTCTGCTCTTTCGCTCTGATTTGTGATAGAGATCCTGCTGTCCAGACACGAGCATCGCCTGAATGACTCTATAAGTGCCTTTTCCTGCCTCCCCGCCAGCCCCCCTCCAGCTGATCAGTTCATTTAGGGGGTATGTCATAGCTGCTGCAGGCTGGGGAGCTGCACTCGGCCAGGTTTCACGCAGAAGCCTTAGCTGCAGATGTGCAGGAGGGTGATTTTTCTCTCCGTGAGGCATTAAGGAGCCCTGTCGTCCCATGCAAATACGAACGGACTAATTTAGCTACAAGCACAAGCCAACTGCGCGTGTCGAGTCAACTGCTCGCCGAGCGAGCTGCCTCCAGAGACGGGCCCCGGCACGTGGAGTCACCTCATCGCTCCTTGAGTTGAACACAGCCCAACCTTCAGCTCTTTCAGCAGCCTCAAAGGAGGCGGGTGCTGGCCTGAAACCAGTTCTCCTGGCAAGCTCGTGACTCTCAAGGCTGGTGGAGCAGAAGCAGATGCTCAGTTGCAATCAAAGGGAGTCATTTCACTGACCGGTGACTCTTACAGCTGGCTGGGCTGCCCTCGACATGTCGAGCTTGAGGCTGTATCACTCTCTCTTCAGGGAGGTTGATGCAATTCCTTACAAGGACAGTAACCACACACTTCCACTGCTTGTAACAGGTCCTCTGAGGCGGTTATGGACCTCAGCACACGCATGCAATGAGATCTGGAGCAAATAGAAAGCAATGTATACCTCCCAAAGCAGCTGAACCCCTCTGGTACAATGAAAGAAAGCGTTTCACACGTAGCACGTGGCACTGGGTCGACTGACACGCTCAACATGGTTACATGCAGGTATGCAAGCCTCCAAGTTTGTCAGTCTGTAGCTGGTACTGGCACTTTGCCTTTCTCAGGGACATTTGTATGTGGGCATCAAAGCGTCTTACAGAGAGGTTGCCCAGTGCTGCTCTGCAACAGACACACAGTGCAAAGGGGCACGATGTGTGCGGATTCCTCGCAGGGCACAATGTGGTCTCTTGCAATGAGACCATAAACCCTCTTTGACGCCAGGTAGATACCATGGGCATGAACCTCTCCATGTCGCAGGCCAGAAACGGAAGAGCCAGGCACAGATGAGGTTTTTCACTTCAATGCACATGGTTCAAGCCAGCAAGGCATCTAAAGCAGGTCTTCATTTGGCCTGGAAAGGGGTGGGCAACAGCAGCAGGCCTTTCCTCACTTTCCTTTGCTTTAAGCAGAGTCTTTCATCTAAAAAAAAAAAAAGAAAAAAGTGCCCTTCCTGTCACTAACTGGAAATTGAAGCCAACTGCATGGAGAGATGGGTGTGCTCTCGATCCCACCAGTAATCTCCAAAACTGCCTGAGAAGACCTTTTCAGGCCATTTACTAGGGAGAATAACCCCACCCCACTCCTTTTTTTCTTTCTGTTCTTCCCCAACCCCCCCACCCCCTCAGGAAATGTGGGGGTCTTGGTGTGCTCGAACGAGCCATTAACTAGCAGCCGACATCTCCAGCTATTGTAAATATATTAACTCAAGGCCTTTCGCTGCATTTATTAGGCTCAAGAACAACATCTGGAAACAGATGTTTTCTGAGTGCAAAGGAGAGGAGGGAGGAGGGGAAAAAAACAAGGTGGGGGGAGGTCTCTTGCAAGTGGAAGTGCATGGGTCTGCAGACCATCCCTTTGACACGTGCTGCTCAGATGGAGCATGGTGAAGGGCTGAGGCCAGTGCCGCCACGTCCCTCCTAGGTGAGGCAGTGAAAGCAGGACATCTCAGGGGAGCCTGTTTGAGAGCAGCAGCGATGGCAGAATAGAAAAACTCATGTCTGCTTTCAGGACCCTTGTGAGCAATGGTCATACACTCACAAAAATGAGATATTGAAGGGGGAGAGATTTTGGGTTTTTTTTTTCCCCTTTTGTGGTCATGGACCTTCCTAGTCCTCAGTTGCTGTGTCCCACAGACTGCCAGGCTCATGGCAGGGTAATGTCACCTTCCCAGCAGCTTGGCAGCATCTGCTACAGGGACCCACAGAGTGGGCAAGGTCTAGGGTCTTCATGGGACACTACCACAGTGTCCCATCTGCCCCAAGCAGTCCTTTCTCAAAGGGCAGGTAGAGTGGAAACCTCCCATCCTGAGGACCGTGAAGGACCAAAGGTTCCTGCTCTGACTTGGAGTCTCAATGCCATGACTCAAGTTTAGACAATATTTAGAGAATTACATAGCATTACTAGGGACAAAAAGCAACCAGGCACAGGTGTACTTAAAATATATATGCCACGACATCGTTGGTGAAACTCTATTCTCAACTAGATACACTTTGGCTTAGGTACCAGAGATGCCTAAGGTACAATAAAGGTCTGAGATCAAAGCTTCTCTGTTTCTTTTGAAGGAAATGCAGTTGCACCCATATGCAAACACTTGCTTTTTATAAAAAAAAACACAAAACAACCACCAAACAAAACACAAAAAACACAAGGAGTATTTTGTCGTCTTTAACCCC